GACATCTGGTCAAGAGGTCTTCTGTTGATATCGACCTTTGAATCTCTTTAGCAAACACTTTCACATGAAATTGAAGTAAGCTCAATAACTATAAAAATATTAGTTGATATGATTGAATATGATTATAATATTTCTTTACTATAATAAGATATTACAAATATGGTAGTACGACAAAGGATACTAATTTTAAAACATGATAATATATTATGCTAGATGGTATGAGATGCTACTATGCTAAATAAGATAGTAAAAGAAATAGGATAAAAATAATAATTTTATGATATATTTTGTTATGATATATAAGGTAGTATGATAATTAAATAATAAGAATACGCAATGTAATATGATGTGCCATGTCTACTATGATAATTATAATTATATTATTCAGATAATACGATATATTAAAATACTAGTTAAATTATTAACATGATTATATGACAAAACATGATAAGTATGATACATATTGTGTGCCATTAATAGCCTGACAAAGTGCATTAAAACACATGGAGTGTTCGTTTTTCCCACTTTCAAAGAGCCAACCACTTCATTCATACAAGGCTGCTAAATTTCCGGTCCATGGTAACAATTCTTGTACTCTTTCTCTTTTATCTGCTAGGTCACGGATTTTGGCTTCGCCAAGAAGGTAAAGGGTCGCACATGGACTTTGTGTGGAACACCTGAATATCTGGCCCCGGAGATCATCCTTAGTAAGGTGAGGCAACACGCTTTTCCGGCTTCGACAAAAAGCTAGAGCATACATAACTTCTATTAAAAATTTGTTGACTTCCACGTTTAGTGACGAACCACTCGTCTACAGACAAAGGTACAGGAGGAAAGATGTTATGTAATAAGACTATGCATACGAAGAGTATTACGAGTCATCGATGTATGATTCACTGTGCTCTGTTCACCAGGCATCGGTTAAAAAGTGAAGCTTCAAACTTACGCGGAATACAAAACTCAATCGGGCTATCGAGAGTGCTAGAAATAGACTTGAATGTCTGGCAAGACCATCCCAGCAACTCATCAAGTCAATTCGGTTCAGGAAGTAAACTTGAGTGAACCAGTGGTTTTCTGATTCTGAAAAATGTAACAAGGACCACTGCCTTTAGGTGGAATTGGGCCATTGCATCAACTGGTTGACATCTGAAAGCCGCAAAATTTAATATTCATAATCAGAAGTTTATGACTATTATTAAGCCAAAACTAGTGACAAGTATTTTATTAGGATAAAATATTCTGGCTTTGTGGTTTAAAAGGCTAAGCTTCACATGCGCAAAGTATACAATCTCGGATAATTAAAACCGAAACCGACTGAAAACCTGTAGGCACAGTTTTTTCAAATGCTCTGCAAAATTCAAGCTTTATGTTGACTAACTTACAGGGATATGATATGTTTTTACCCAATTTCTCATCCAGGGTAGATGAGAACAACTTTTGGAAAAGCAAGTCTATGTGAACTTCAATGGAAACGTCAGCTCTACTCATATCATTGTGGGAAAATTCTTCTACCATTCTTTCATCATCCTAACCGAAATTGGATGAATACATCTCATATTACTGATTTACTGGTAGTCTCGAGACCATAATTAAATGCAAAAATAGCTTACAGGGGCCTGGTTACCAACCACAACTAATCAATTGACATTTCTTGGTTATTTTACTTGAAGGGTTACAACAAGGCCGTGGATTGGTGGGCTCTTGGCATCCTGATGTATGAGATGACATGTGGCTATCCTCCTTTCTTTGCCGATCAACCGATTCAGATTTATGAGAAGATAGTAGCTGGAAAGGTAATTTGTCTATAAACCAATGTATGCCAACCCTTTTCTCCCATGCATGAAAGTGATACCGATTTCTCAGGCCAGGATTATCGAACACCGAAACTGCGTCGTAGGATTTGTTTAGACAAGTCACCATCTTATTGTATTAAACCTAATACTGATGATGACAGTATTAGCAATGATGCTAAAACTCTCAAGCCAACGTTAACCCTTGAAAACAATTTTTCATCTTATCTCCCTAATTTTTATTAAGCTTTGCTCAAGTTTTGCTTTTTCACAGACACAATTACAAACAAAAGCTTTGGTGTAGCTCCACACCTTTGCCTCATTCTACTTTAAGTAGGCCAATGAAACCGATAGTTTTTGGGCAGAGGCAAACTATTTAAATCGAAAGCAGTGCAAATACTGTGAGTGCAATTGTTCAAATAAGTTGAAATAAGTTTTGTTGCATAGTCTCATCTTCACGGCTAGTGGTGTTTGCTGGAAGATAGTGGAGAGCATCTTCTGCATAGTCTACAGTGCTGTTGTGGTTCTTTAACTTTCGGAATCGAGTCGCCAACGATAGAATTGCGAATCTATTTGGTCGGCATATCAAAACTTAAAATGCATGCAAACGCAACAGCAGATGGGATACAGTGGGACTGACGCTTAGACATGTTACAAGACGAGATCAAATCGGCTAAAAGATTAATTATCTTAATAGGTGCAGGCTTTAATTTCATTTTATAAAAGTGGGTTGTCCTCGTTGTCGCAACTTGGC